AAGGATGGGAGGTCGCTCCCAGTAAAAGAACAGGGCATGATGGAGTCGCTCACACCCCGGGAGCCCAGGGATGACATGGAGCCTAAAGATGCCCTGGAAAGCCTACGTAAAGCGTGGCCACTGGGACAGAACCCCAGCTCCAAGCCTCTTCGCTGCCCTGGCAAAGCTGGATTACACAAAGCCTCCCACTAAGCAGTGACACAAGGCAGGCTGGTTTATTAAGAAAAACAACCTCATCGCTAGCCCTAAACTCCTCAGTGAAATTTATCCCAAGAAACTTTCTATAAGGAACATGGCAACAGATCGTTCTCCTCAGTCGTGATGAAATGCTGAGACGTACTTCCTATGACAGTTTTCTATATTTACCTTTAATAAAAAGCAGAGAGGATCAGGTTATCTGGGAAGGCATTTCGCATACAGTCTGCTGCTGTCTGATCACAGACGAGATGAAGGAACGCACAGAGAATGCAGGGCTGAGCTGGCTGCCCGCCACGGGCCCCAAACCACCACCATCTCAGCTGCCCTGGGGAACAGACAACTGACAAGATAACGCACTGCCCCCCATAGCTCGCCCCCACCCATGACACAAGACTCACCCAGTAGGGCCCTGAAGAGTGTCTGCCTCCAATGACAAACTGGGTTTTGGCATAATTGCTATGCAACTGTTCTCATGGGGTGCACTGGGACGAGCCGGGGCTTTGAAGCCAGGCTAGGCTTGGGTCTGGGCCCCAGCTGTGTCATTTACTGGCTGTGTTGCCGAGAGTAAGTCACTCATTTGTCACCACGCCTGTTTCCTCATCTGTGGAATAGATCTGACAATACCTACCTACGAGGTGGTTGGTGCTCTCTCAAAGGCAGCTGTCGGAGGGGAAGACACACACGGCAGCAGAAGAGAGAGGTTACAAATCTCCCGCCACGCTCCCAGTTCATTACGGAGTGTCATCACGTGGGTTAGGTAGAAGGTTGAAAAAATGGGGTAGGGGGCAGGATATGGCCCCGCTGTAAACATTTAGGATCAGCGGTTGTCCTGTCCAGAGTTTGTTTGTTCCTGCACCTTCTGGGGTTTAAATAAAGGCTGTGCGGGTCGACTCCAGGATCTACAGTGGGCTCCGGAGGCCTGCCCCGCTTTGGGATTTGGGGAGACACCTGACCAGCCTGGGTGATTAGAGGCCTGGCGCTGAGTTGTGAAGACATGCAAGGTGTTCTGAGAAATCACGGGCTCTGAAAGGCAGGAGGCTGGCCAGCACAGGCCAGCAAGACTGCCCACGGAAGGGAGAGGACTGGGCAGAGCTTGGCAGGTGCCGAGGGAGGCACCAGGGCCGTGGGGCAGCTAAATACCCCAGTGGGACCTCACGTGGCAAACCCTCTTCCGGTCTTCTCTGTCCTCCCCTGAAGAGAGGAGGCCAGTGGCGGGCTCCCCTCCCCACATTGCCTCTGGCCTTGAGCAGGCCCCTCCAACCTCTGGGCCTCAGTTTCTTCTGCTGTGAGCCGAGATGAATAATACGGGCCTCGCGGGGTGGTTTGGTTAATTGAGTGAACTGGAGCGTGTGAGCGGCTTCACACACTCTAAAGAAAAACGCAGATACTGTTTTTATTGGAATACTCACAAGTCTGAAAGTAGGAGCAGCTTCTCAACCTTCCTGAGTGAAGAGGACTGACTTTAAGCACTGCCCAGAAATATGCCATGGGATCGGCTTGAACTTGGGCAGCTGGCAACCTGTCCTTATCTCCCTTGCCCTCAGTTCTCAATTTCTTCACGTTCTGCCCATCTGAGGTCGCTGGCTAAACAGTGCTGGAAGGGGGTGCCACCAAGGGCTCCCGGCTTCTCGTTTTTTTTTCCTCCGCCTGCGTCCTGAGCAGCTGTGGGAATGTGCTGCCACCTGGTGGTCGCTGCTGAGCACAGCGCCCCAGCAGAGGCTCCGGAATAAGCCTTTCAGGCTCTTGAAGCTGGCGCCGGGAAGCCTCTACCCGGCTAAGACTCTTGTAGCTTGAACCATCTCCTTGCTTCCTGGGTGCCTACAACCTGGAAAAAGTTTAGAGTTAACCGAACCCTTCTCTGGACTCTCCATTAGGGCCTGGAGGCCTTCTAACCCGTGTGGTGTCAGTGGGCGTCTGGCGGGTAGGGCGTTTAACCAAGGAGTTCCCCTTTGCTGAGCAGGATTTCCTGTGGCTCCCAGTGAAGGAACCTTGAACTCTCCCTTCCCCCCTTGCACTGGTTCTGAGTGAGTCTCCTGAACTCAGACTTTGGCCTCAGGAGTCCCTGGCTCCTTGGCCAAACCCATGTGGCTTGAGTCGCCGAGTCACCGGGGCCCTAGTAGGAAGCCCCCTGGGGACAGTGGCTCCAGATCAGCCCCTGGAAGAAGGCTTCTGGAGGGCCCAGCTTCCTCCTTGGGGGCTGACCGAGAGCAGGGAAAGGAAGGGCGCCGGGAGAGGACACTGTCTTGGCAGTCTCGTTCTTTCTAAGCCTCTGCTGCTGCCTAGCAAGCATGAAGCTCTGTAAACATATAATAAGGTTTTGGGGAAGTGGTGATGGGGCCCAGAGGAACTGAACAAGCTGATTTTGTGAACTGCACAGGCAGTGGTGGAGGCAGTCCGAGCCAGCCCCAGGCAGAAGCCACCACCTCCCGCCTGCCCGACATCCTGTCTCAGCAGCTGCCTGGTCCCGTTCTAAGTCTCCAAAGGTTCCCGCGCCCCCGGGGGTCCTGCCCACATAACATCTTGCGGCCGGTGCAGGGTGGTTGCTGGAGGTTTTCGGGCTTGTCTGAGAAGCTGCAAAGGAGCAGCTGAATGGCTCTCTGGCCAGCCTGTCACGACATCAAGCAGAACCCCAAGGGAGTTCTGTGGCTGAGCTGTGGCTGAGCTGTGCCCAGGTGTGTCCAGCCAGGGTTTGGGATAGGTGAGGCCTTCTCCCCGCAGGACTCCAGATGCTTTTCCTGTGGTTCAGCTTGACGGATCCTCCCTGGTCCTTGCCTCCTCTGTGGATTTCAGGTTCTTTTAGTAAAACTGAAACAGACACAACCCTTCTTTTAGATGGGGAAATTCCCTGAGCCCTGTCTCCCTTATAATTTATTTTATTATTAAAAAAATAGTTTTAGCACTCTGGTCCAGTGAAAGATTTTCTTTCTGTCCCAGAGCTCCCCTTGGGGCACCGCCAAGTGGCCTACTGGTTTCTCCACCTCTTTGTAATTCAGAGCAGGTGCCACACCTACACGGTACTTGTGCTCTCTTCCACGGTCCTGGTCACCACTTCCTTTTCCAGGTGGGGGGTTAGGACGTCCAATTGATAATATGGCAACATCAAGTCCAGGGACGGCTTGTAATTGTGAAAGCTGCCCATGGTTGTTCACTTGCCCGTTCATTTACTGAAGCCAGGAGCCTGGGATTGAATGCGGGCTCTGCCACTTCCTAGCTGTACCACTTGGGGCAAATTACGCCACCTCTCTGAGCCTTAGTTTGCTCCGCAGTGATTATAGTATCTATTTCATCATAGAACGTTGAATAAGACCGTGAAAGTAAAATGCTCAGCACTCTAGATGGTATAAAGGAACGTACTTAACAGGTCCCAGCTGTTAACACCCAGTGGTATTCTATACCCAGTGCCAAGCTGATGCCCTCTGGGTCACTGAGGTGCTTTCCTATTCATTCATTTAGCAAAAATATATTTGAGCACCGCCATCTGCCAGGCATTGTGGTGGGGCTAGAAATGGAAAGTGGAGGTCCCTACGTTTCGGGAGCTTGTGAGATAACAAGGGAGGGGGGCTTATACACCCAGCATGGGGAGGGGATGTCTGGGAAGTTCTCTTCGGGGTCCTGTTTGAGAACAGTCTTGAAGGAAAAGCGCTTGTGTTTTAGGTGGGCACAGGGAGAAGGGCTTTCTGAGCCTGGTGCACAGGGGAAAGGAAGCGAAAGCATAATGGTGCTTGCAGTTTCAGGGAGGAGGGGGAGATCCAGGCACCAGGAGGCTGCAGAAGCTGGGAGACCCCCACTTCGAACGGTCTCATATGCCATTCCAGGGAGGCTGGACTTGATCCTGAGGGCTACGCGGAGGCCGTGAGGGCACTTGCATTGGGAATGGTTTCCGGGGGGCTGAGGTGGTCTCTCTGTGAGAGATGAGGGAAGTTACCCAAGAGCAGCTGTGGCATGTGTGTCTGGGGGGTGGCGGGTGGGTAAGCAAGATGACCATATGCCCTGGCCTCTCTGTCCCCTTTTCCAGGCTGTCTTCTGGTGCTCCATCTGGAGGGAAAAGTTGGCTCAGGGCCCACTCCCAGGCCAAAATGCTAAGTAACTGTGGAAACCTCTCTCCTCACCCCTCCAATCACTTCCCTGAGCAGGGATGGGCTCGGGCCTGCCTTGTTCACGGAGAGGAAATTTCCAGAGAATTCCCGGGTGGGAAGAGGTGAGTAGGTCCGGTGTCCCAAGTGTGGCCCTTGCCTCTTCTTTTCCCCCTGGATGATTCTCCCACATGCTGTCCTGCACCCACCACACTGTTCTTGTCACTGGTGCTGGGTCACAAAGCCCTCTCCTTGGTGTCTCTAACCCAGCCCAGATGGGCTGGTTCCAAAAGGACTCCCCTGTGTCCTAAAGGAGGACAAAAGGGGTAAGAATCTGCAAGCACCCCAGTCAGGTTTCTAGCTCCAGCTGTCCGGTTGTTGCCCAATGCCTCGGTCCACTTCCTGTGGCTGGATCCACGGCTCAGGCTCTTTCCTGGCCTCAGCCACCTTACCTCTCGCCCAGCTTCTGTCCCATAACCACACAGAGGCCCCCATCTCTCTCTTGAAGTGCGGGAACTGCCCGTCGTCTGACCAGCTCTCAAATGCAGAGCAAGGCTGTGAGGCAGACCTGGGGGGCAGGTAGCCCTCCCCTAGCCCTTCCTAGGGGCAGCCAAGCCCCTAAGGAAACCGCTCCATTGCTGTCCATTCGCCCTAACCGGGCAACACGACTCGTCCCTACACCAGACAGTCTCTCTCTCACATAAGGCTGTTTGGGTGCTACCTGGTGGCAAGGCGCTGGCGGGGAGGGTACATTTTTTTTTTTTTTACAGTGGGTCACCAAGATTCAACCGTTGCTTTAGGGTGACTTCTTTTGGTAGCCCGCAGCCTCCTAGAAATGGCTCTCTGTGACTTCCTTCTCCAAAGCAGAGATAAAGAAAGCAGCTGTAGTAGAAACTTTATGAGAAGCCACGCTAAAGGCTGACAAAACTTCTCAAGCTCCCAGGGCGCAGGGATGTGGGCATAGGTAACACTGGAAAACGCTGGGGTGGCGGAGAGGCAGTTGGGGAGCACTGCCCCTTCATATCTTGGGAGGGCGTGGTTTCACCCAGGAAGAAGTGGCAAGTATAGAATGCATGAGCAAGGGATTCAGCTTGGGCCAACTGGGGATGAGGGTCGGGGAGCAGAGGGTGACGTAGAAGTGGCAGCCCGAGGCATCTCACCAGGGCCCTGGCGAGGATGTGAACAGCACTGTTGATAGCGCTGAATTTTAGTTTTGGCTGTACATAGGTTGGTGTTTAAGGCAAATATTATAAACCCTTCAATCCACGGTGCGGGCTCAGGTCCACCCACCCCTTCCTCTAAATCACCCCTTTGGGCAGGACTGAGACGCATCTGAACTCCATGGACCTTAAATCACAATTGCTTGTAAGCGTCTGGTTTCCAGAAGTTGCAGGCTAGGTGAGCAACTTCCAGGAAAGCAGTGTGGTTCCTCTTTCCCTGCGGGCGGGGCGGGAGGGTATGCCATGTGATGATGTGCACCTGTGGCCCTTTCCCTCCTTTCTGCCGGGCCGGTCATCCTGTTGTTCCTCAAGGAGGTTTGTCACTGGCTGGTTGCTGGGGCGAGGGCATGTGAGACCTCCGGTGGGTGTGCGGGGCCGACGAGGGGAAATGTCGAGTCAGCAGATGTGCTTATGGGAGGTGCTGTGTTTTTTGCCCTTCTAAGCAGGGCATCTTAGCTTGTTCCTTTGGCAAAGGATCTCTGAGGCAAAAGCTGGGTCCTAGCCATGCCTGGCCAGGAGTCAACTCATGCCACTCAATTCTCAGGGCTTGCTGCTTTGCACTGTATTAGTCTGTTCAGGCTACTGTAACAGACTACCAAAGACTGGGTGGCTTATAAGTCACAGAAATTCTCAGTTCTGGAGGCTGGGAAGCCCGTGATCAAGGTGCCAGCAGATTTGGAGTCTGGCGAGAGCCAGCTCCTTGGTTCATGAATGGCAGAAGGGGTGAAGGAGCTCTGTGGGGTGTCTCTTATTAGACACTAATCCCATGCCTGGTGGCTCCATGCTCATGACCCAGGCATCTCCCAAAGACCCCACCTCTTAATACCGTCACTTTGAGGCTCAGATCTCAATCTATAAATTTTTTTTGGTGGTGGGGGGGGGAGGACACAAACATTCAATCTGTAGCATGCGCTAAGAAACCATAAATTCTGGCTAAGGCTGCCACCAAAATCTAGTTCTTGTTCCCCTGTGGCTCCCATTTGCCTCCTTGTCATGGGATCTTTCTGCTAAGGTAGCAGAAAGCCAGAACATTTGAGTCCGTGCTCTTACTGCTTTCCCACGCAGCGCTACACTCCCATCCAGTCCCCGAGTGAATGCATTCTGAGCCTTCTCCATGCCCCTCACACCCTTCCCTTGCTCTTTCTATCTTCTTGCTGAGCGTTCTGGTCTATGCTTCCTCTTGACCCATCTCACTTCCTGAAACACCCCTGAAGAGGGTTGCTTATCTGGATGGAGCTCGAGTGGCCCTCTGGGGGCAGGAGGCAGAGGCCTTGAGCGTGTCCGTCTGCGGAACTAAGAGAAGCGACACTTTCAGATTCAACCCACATAGAACTGTCCTTCACGCTTCTGGGAGCCCAGGGATGTGTGGCCCGCAAAGGGGCGGAAAGTGATTGCCCCTGGATGGGCTCTCTCTAAGAAAAGCCGGGGTCTCCAAGGGAGTGTCCCACCAGAGAAGAGAAGAAATGAGCGAGTCGTGAATTTTAGACTGTTGCTGCTGCAACTGGACCTCTAGCGAGATGCCTGGCAAGAGCTAGGCTCCCTGGGCCACGCAGATCCTGTCAGCACGCTTGGGGAGAGCAAGATGGCTGTCAATAGCACTGCCCTATTGTTGGCCAAGGTTACCTACATCACCGTGGAGATTGTCATCGGGCTCTGTGCCATCGTGGGCAACGTGCTGGTCATCTGGGTGGTCAAGCTGAACCCCAGCCTGCAGACCACCACCTTCTATTTCATTGTCTCCCTGGCCCTGGCTGACATCGCCGTTGGGGTGCTCGTCATGCCTTTGGCCATTGTCATCAGCCTGGGCATCACCATCCACTTTTATAACTGCCTTTTCATGACCTGCCTGCTGCTGATCTTCACTCATGCTTCCATCATGTCCCTGCTGGCCATTGCTGTGGACCGATACCTGCGAGTCAAACTCACAGTCAGGTAAAAGGGGGCAGAGTGGGGCAGTGAAGGAGGTGCCTGGGACATGGGGCTTCTTCCCTGAAAACACATCCAGTCTGGCCTGTGATCTTGAAAGAGGGCACTAAGTTTCTTTGCACCATTTGGTGTGTGAGGGATTTAACAATGCTGAGCTGGGACTGGGGAAGAGCTAAAGAGGACGAAAGCTTGATGCATCTTTATTTACTATTTTTTTTATTAGCATCTCTAGCTTGATGCATCTTTAATTAGTAAAAAATGTTCTTGAGTTTTAGAAATGATAAGAGACCTACTAGATAACATAAGGAGCAGACAGAGAAGAATAGGAGGAGATAAATAAATGGACGGTTCTGTTATTTGCAGATGTAGGTTATTTTAAAGTTATTTTAACTTTGCTTCCTCTTCCAAGTTGAGGAGGGGACCAAAAAAAGTTCTCCATTGCCGAAAGTAGTAGCAACCTTTCATGTGATGGGACCAGAACAGAACAGACCGTCAAGTGGAGACATCTCATTCCCCAGGTGTCCTGAATGGCAATCGGCTTGCTCTCCTCCTCTCTGGTCTTGGGGAAGAGGCATGGGGAGGGAGCTGCAAACAAGCTTTTGATACTAAAAAGCCCAGGCTCAAAGGCCAGATCTTGAGATCTGAGCTGGGGCAAGTGACTTCTGCTGCTTCGGTTCCTCATCTTTCCACAGCAGTTAAGATACTCTGAACTCGGACTCACTTGTTTCCATTTTACCTCTGCCACTTCTAGCTTGTCCGGGTTACCTGCCTCTGTTTCTTTTTTTCTTTTTTTCTTTTTTTTTCACCTATAAAGTGGGGACAGTCATTGCCACTTCCTCGTAAAATTACATGGGTCACACATATCAGGCTCTTAGAAAAATGCCTGCGTGCGGTCTATGCTCACTCAGTGGTCGCTGTAACTACTGTTATCCTCCCTCACCCAGTCACCGGGAAGGGAATGGAGATTGTCGTAAAACTAGCTTCAGTTTGTTGTGAGATGTAACTGAGATACAGTCTCCCGAGGACACAGTCACTACGTAACAAAAGCAGTGTCCTTCTTGTAGTCTGTGTGGATGTTGTCAGGAAGGACGGTGGAAGGAGGAATGGTGCCTCTCGTCGGACGAGTCGTTTGAGGTCCTGGAAACACTTCAGCATGACCTCCACGCCTCCCTACAGCCCTGTGACTCGAACACCAAGTGTGGCCGCCAGAGCAAATAGAGAAGCAGGGGCGGGCACCGGTGGAGGGTGGGGTGGGAGAGGCAGAGTCGAACTCATGGCCTTCAGCCCCGCAGCCGAACAAAACAAGATCATCTCGGGTAGGCAATCGCAAGAGACATAGAAAACTCTTACCTTCCACGAATCAAAGAATTCTCGGGCTGGAAATGGAGCTGTGAGAGTGGCAACATATGTCTAACCCATTCTACATCATATTTCTTTTAAAAAGTCCCCCAGAGAAGTTTGCTAGAATGCCCGCTCTCTCCATCCCCATCGCCCCCGCTCCTTCCTTTAGCAATTCCTAAATGAACTCATCCATTCTCTTCCATTCAAACAGATACAGGAGGATCACCACTCAAAGAAGAATATGGTTGGCCCTGGGCCTTTGCTGGCTGGTGTCGTTCCTGGTGGGACTGACGCCCATGTTTGGCTGGAACATGAAACTGACCTCAGAGTACCACAGAAATGTCACCTTCCTTTCCTGCCAGTTCCGTTCTGTCATGAGGATGGACTACATGGTCTACTTCAGCTTCTTCACTTGGATTTTAATCCCCCTGATTGTCATGTGCGCCATCTATCTTGACATATTCTACATCATCCGGAACAAACTGAATCAGAAATTTTCGAGCTCCAAAGAAACGGGTGCATTTTACGGACGGGAGTTCAAGACGGCCAAGTCTCTGTTTCTGGTTCTCTTCCTGTTTGCTTTGTCCTGGCTGCCTTTGTCCATCATCAACTGTATCACCTACTTTCATGGTGAGGTGTCACAAATTTTTCTGTACTTGGGCATTCTGCTCTCCCATGCTAACTCCATGATGAACCCTATTGTCTATGCTTATAAAATAAAGAAGTTCAGGGAGACCTATCTTTTCATCCTCAAAACCTGTATGGTCTGCCAGTCCTCTGATTCCTTGGACCCAAGCATGGATCAGACTTCTGAGTAGTTGTCTGGGAAAGATGACACTTCACCCCACTGACCTTCGGATTCAGCATCAGTAAACACTTGAGGACTTGTCCACCTGATCCAGGGGCTTTCATGTCCTTAATTTCTTCTACTGAGGTGGGGAACATTTGACTGGCTGCCTCCACTTGTACCTCCCCTAAAGCCCCTTCCTATAATCTAATTGTTTTCTTGTCTTTCTTCTCTGATTCAATGTTCTGGTTGCCTGACTCGAGGAGAATGTCCTACTATTACTATTGCCTGTGTTCCTCCTCCCCAAACAGGAGGAGGAGTCAGTCTGAAGGATGCCTCATTGACTTAACTGATGCAAGGTCCCAATCCCGCTGGACATGGGTATGGTGGTGACTCAGTTCCACTCCGCGTGGAACCACACCGGCACACGCCGGGGAGATAGCAGGAACAGAGTGTCACAAAGGGGAACTGAAACTGCTGAGTTCACCTGTAACTGTATTTGAGTAAATAAAAGATGACCGCTAACTGTTGTGTAGCTCTTTCTGAGGGTCAGTGTCACTTGGGGCTCACAGGCCCAGCTGGCTGCTCTTGGCACTCAAACTACTTGCCACTGGGAACCACGCCATGTTCACCTGTTTGAACTCTGGGGCCCTCACCCCTTGCCCTATAATACCCTGCTCCTTTATCCTGGGCTAATCGGAGCATTTGCCAACTTGATGAGCCGTTCGTCAATTGTTAGAGAAGGATCAAAAGAGGCAGAAAAGAGACACAGGATAGCTATTATTTGTGGAGTGCTTTCTATGTGCTAAGCACTTTCCATACATGAGCTCTTCGGATCCTGACAATCTCCGAGGTAGGTGCCACCATTATCGTTCCGTCCATTATGCAGAAGGAAAACAGAGGCACAGAGAGGTTAAGTAACTTGTCTATAGTCACACAGTTAATAAGTAGTGTAAAGCCAGGATTTAAACTCAGCCCTGCCTTTTGGGAGAACCCAAGCTCCTCACCACCTATCCTCAGACACAAAGAGGGACTTGTAACTTCTCCAAAGTTCAAACTCTCAAGTTCACCTAATGGACAATTAGCAGATGCATGGATAAACACAATGGTTTGTATGCTGGGAGGACTGCTGGATTTTTGGAGACGGGGGGGTTTGCCTTAGGTACTATCACTGATGTCTCATTAATCCTGACACCAGGTGGGGACAGAGTCCCAGTCATCTCCTTCTCACGTTGTGTGTGGCTCTGGAGATACAAGAGGCCATCTCTGGTTTGGTCTCTCCAAATTTGCAGCTGTGGACTCTCCCTAAACAATGAGTCTATGAGCCTGATGAGAGCAGCAAGATGGGGCTTTCAATTACACCACTTCAAAGAGAATAAGTGTACTTAAGATTTTTTTTTTTAATTAATTCTTAGCCGGTTCTGAAAGTTTATCCTGACGGCAACCTTAGGCCAGAGCCCGATAACCATATTTACCTAGTTAACATTTCATCTCAGTAAAGGTCCTCACTTCTCGAGAATCCCCGTCACCCCAGGAAGAATGAACACTGTCTGGAAAGTTTGAAGACTACATCTACTTGGCTACTAATGCCAAACTGAGCGGGTTGCCGACCCACCCACTTCCCTGCGCCGCTCACAATCGTATCTTAAAGGCGAATGGCTCGGACCTGCCCCCACTGTCCCTGGAAGTGTGGGAGGTTGCCTTCATCTGGTCAGTCTTCCCTTCAACATTTGGGGATCTTTCTTCTCTAAAATTCCCAGCGCTGCCCCCCAAACCACATTTTTTTTTCCCTTCATGGCATCCCCTTGTTTGATTTGGGGCTTTCCCCCCACCCATGAATTAATTTTTTGTGCTTTGTTCAAATGCCCCTCGGGACGATGCCCTGGGTTTTACTGTGGGGCTTCTGGTGACCCTGGTGCATGCTTCTGCCCAGAAGCTACCTTTGCCCAGTTGGACCCTTGAGGGAAGTGCTAGTTAGTTTTCTGTCCCAAACAGAGGCATTTCTTAGTTTTCAAACAATCTCTAGTAGTTGTTGTATCAACACTTAGCACCTGCTCTTTGGGGAAACTTGCGTTAAAGGGACCAATTCTCAAAACAAAGCAGCAGTCTGTCCGGTGTCATTTGGTGTCATAAGAGGAGCTGTAGTCTCTCAGTCTCAGAAAAAAAACTTTTTTTCCCCTCTCTTCTCCTTTTCTCTTCATCTTTCCCCTTCTCTCTCTCTTTCTTTCTGAAGACCACTGCTTAGCAAACCCACTGAGGGTTTGCGGGGAGTTGTATTTGTTTTTTTTTTTTTTTAATATTTTATTTTGTTTCGGTCAAATGGGAACATCCTGGGCTAAGATGTTCCACAGGCCCGGAAGAAGCCCTTAAAGTGACAATACCTTTCGGAGTGGACTCAGAAAAGATGAACTAAGAATCACTGGTGAGGAGCGGTTGGTAGAAGTGGCGAGCTCCACCCTGCTTTCAGGTTCAGAGATTAGCGTTGCTGGAGCCTCCTTGAGCCCGTCTCCTGGCTCATTCCCTTCAGCTGGACAGCTGAGGGTGGCTGTCGGTTTTTTGGTTCTCAAGGAATAACGTAAAAAGACTACGCAGACAATACTGACGTTAGCTTCCTCCTTCTCCCTATGAATTCGCTGGAACGAAGGTAGATGTTGAGTAGCTGGGTTTATATACCTAATTTTTTTTTTTAATCAAGTCAGCTGTGGGTAAATGAAGACCAAGTGAGAACAAGCAAAGGCCACCCCCAAGCTTGCAATAGCAAGAGAGTCAGTCACTGCCACTCGTATTTTGGCAGAGACTAAAGGGGTCCGTGGAGTGGGCCAGCTCTCTGGTGGTAACAGGGAGGCTTCGCTGCGCCCTGGCTGGAGGCTGGTGGCCTGGGGAAGCTGTGGGTGGGCTCACACAAGTGGGGCAGCCCGTGTGATTGGTTAGGAAAGCATATTCGGCTTTCTCTGGTTGGCCCCAAGGTGGAAGCCGGACAAAAATTTGGGGAGCGGTCAGTTTTTACTAGCTACTTTGGGTTGATTGTCACAGGGATTATTGTTTGGCATTCTGGACTTTTGCGAGAGACCAGGGTCTGATGTCCTACAAATCTGACCTCTAGCAGGTTGGCTTCCCTGGCCAGTTACTGGAGATAAGACGCTGGTTTCCTGGGCCAGAAGTTCTGTCCAGAGGTCTATTTTTGTAGATGGTCTGGCCATTGTCCATGGGTACATTCAGTTTTTTACAACCAGATGCACATTTTCCAGAGACACTCTGCCCTTAGAGGCCATAGTGGGTATACTGGGGATGGGGAAACAGCTGTCTATTGCCCCGACCGCTCAGACGACATGGTGTATGTCACGTCCCCTTGTGAAGTCTAATGTCTCTATGCTTTCGCCATGTTACTACTGTAGAAGGAAGAGTACTATTGTGGAAGATTTAGCATCAGCTCATCGTGCGGTACTAGATGTGTGAACTCGGGCAATTTCCTAAAACGGAACCTCCTCATACCTGAGTTTCGTTTTGTTTTTTGTTTTTTACTATTTATGATGGAAAACTTCAGGCACACCAAAGTGAAGAGGTCAGAATAATGACCCCTCAGATATCTGTTATCCTGCTTTAGTAATGATGATCATTACTAAATGACCAACTTACAACCAATGTTGTTCCATTAATGTCCCTACCCACCTGCCCCACCCTGATTATCTTGAAATTTTGGACATCAAATTATTTCATCTGCAAACATTTTGGTTTTTTTTATGAAAGGTATTTTTTAAATGATCAATTGGCTTATTGTTATTACCCACTCATCCTCTTAAGTTGTACATCTAAGGAGTGAAAATTAATTCTACCCTGATGAGGCAGCAGCAGAACTAAGAGCACCAACAAATACTCAGAATGCTAGTAGACACATGGTTCATTCTCTGTAAGTCTGGGCCTCTCATTTGCTTTAGAATGTTACCTTTTCATGTCTTGGGCACTTTACTGATATCTGTACCCAATCTATTTCTCCTTTGGCTGCTACTTTCTTTGGTTTCACGGCGCTATCTCTGAGCCATTCCCAGTGTCCGTTTGGAGGTAGCTTTCTCAGAGATAAGAACTGATTTTTAAAAATACAACCACAATATCTATATGAATTATAAATTGTTACATAATTTTTATTGATTTTTCTTTTTTAAAAAAAGATTTTATTTATTATTTGAGAGAGAGCAAGCGAGGGGAGGGAGAGGGACAAGTAGACTTCACATCGAGCACTGAGCCCAATGCAGGGCTCAATCCCAGCACCCCGAGACCATGACCCAAGCCAAAATCAAAAGCTGGGTGCCCAACCGACTGAGCCACCCAGGCGGCCCAGTATTTATTGATTTTTTTGATCACACAGGCCAGCCCAAATTCAGTTTTGAAAGGGATTGCACAATAGCATGAATGCCAGGAGCCATCTTTGAGGCTGGTTATTTTTATTGATTTTACAATTTTTTTAAAAAAAGGAACTCATAATTCCACCAGTCTTTTAAAAAGGATTTTATTTGGGGCACTTGGGTGGCTCAGTCGTTAAGCGTCTGCCTTCGGCTCAGGTCCAGGGATCGGGCTCCGCATCAGGCTCCTTGCTCAGCGGGAAGCCTGCTTCTCCCTCTCCCACTCCCCCTGCTTGTGTTCCCTCTCTCGCTGTGTCTCTCTCTGTCAAATAAATAAATAAAATCTTTAAAAAAATAAAAAAGATTTTATTTATTTATTTTAGAAAGAGAGAGACGGACCAGGAGGCAGGGAGAGGGAGGGGGAAAGAATCTCAAGCAGACTCTGCACTGAGTGTGGAGCCCCACGCAGGGCTCGATCTCACGACCCTGAGATCATGACCTGAGCCACAACCAAGAGTTCGACGCTCAACCGACTGTGCCACCCAGGCGCCCCTCAGACAGAAACTGGTTCTCGACAATGTCATTATCACATCTGAGAAAAACTTAATAATTTCTTAACATCATTGACTATCTAGTCACTGTCTAGACCTTTGGTCAGGATCCAAATAAATTCCATATGTTGCAATTTGTCATTATTTCTCCTAAGCCCCTTCCTTCTTCTTCCTTCCTCCTTCCTTCTTCCCTTCCCCTCCCCTGCTTTTTCTCCACCTTGCGATTTATTTGTTGAACTCACAGAGGTTTGATGAGGAGTCAATGTGGCACAGGTAGAACAGGCGCGGGAAGCAGGCCCGCTGCTGGCCCAAATGCTGACCGTGTGGGAATGAGACAGGCCCCTCCCCCACAAGAGGACATTGCTGAACAACCTGGACACTCATCCACGTCTGGCCCTTGATGGGGAGGGCTAACTCTGGGGGGTGATAAGTAGTGTTCAGCCTAGATTCACGGGAGGGGTGCTTCTGTAATTCAGACTTTCAAAATCAGCTGTCAGACCACGAGTCCCAATAGGAACCAAGAGAAGCTTCTCTCGATGCACAGACAGATCTCCTTGATTTGTTCCAGCTCTGCCCCTGGAAGCTCTCAAGAGGTCTGGGCGCAGCAGCCCTGGCTGCTGACACCCAAACACCCACATGTACAACACTCATGCTCCAGATGCCGGGTGCATCTGCTCCTAACAGCTTCATGCTTCACCCCTGACTCCATTCCCTGGGGGGAGGCTTCAGTGTCCACTTGGGAGTCGGGGAAGTTAGCACTCTCACCTGGCCCATTGGCAGGACAGGCTCAGTTGCACACCTGGATATGTGCCAGCGCTGGTGTGTGTGCTTGTGCTCTTCCAAGTGGGTACAAGGCTTTGTTGCACCAGGGTGCATTTATCCAAGGGGGGAATCTCCATTGCTGTTTTGGGAGTGCCAGGAAGCCCACAGTTTTTTCAGTTGCCTATATTATTATATAAATAAGTTTATTTCCACAAATGGCATCCCTCTGATGAGGTACGCTTGTGCAGTGCACAACCTGGATAGCTATACATAGCAGCACGGCTTGGATTGACTGGTTCTTCCCTTTGCCCTGGTCTCTTCAAACAGGATAAAACCAGCTGAAGCTCAAAGATCTCGGTTTCCCTTAAACAGATCCAGGATTCCTGGGACCCCTGGGCATGGTTTGTCATTCCAGTTGAAGGTTGTTCACTTCCTTCCAGTCATGGGGTCCTTCATTCTGCTCTTCTGGACTGTCCTTTCAGGTAAGACATGGGGAAGGAACATCTCCAGCCTCCAAACTTCCCAAACACCTTGCATTTCCTTGCATTTCCTTCTCCTCTCCTACTTGCAATGCCGGTTCTGTCGCTCGAACCACGGCAGGAGTGGGATAGGAAAATAAACGGAGGAGATAAGAGGTCCTGTCCAAACTCATCCTAGTTCTTAGCTCTGATAAGAGGGTAATGAGAGGAGAAAAGAAATGTTTAAAAAGAGGGTTGTGAGGAATTTGAAAGCCTCAGCTAAGACGTAGGCTCTGGACTCTCTCAGCATAAGCTCTCCTCCCCTCTCCATTCTCCCCCAAAAGGGTTTGTGCAGATGGACAAGGCCAGGACTTTCCGCTGTCTCCCTGTGCCGCAGCCCAGAGATGAGACCCCGGGGACTGGCCTGGTGAAATTGACAGCTGCTGTGTCTCTCCCTGGGTCAGTGCCCAGGCCTCTAGACTGAGCATCACCCCGTCTTCCTTGTGGGGTTGTTAGGAGAATAAAATATGAAGTCGTATCAATTCATACGGGGGGGCACAAGCCTGCCATGCAGGCTGGTCCTAGGTAGCACTTGTGGGGACCTAGCCCACCTCTGGAAAGCTGAGAGACAGGGGGGCCCCTGCTGCCCCCCTCTCTGCTCCTTGTTCAGATACTTCCCCAGCCACAGTCAAGGGGGACATGGTGTGCATGACTTCCTCACTACGCAATATCCTGAGATGATGGAGCTGCCCCCGAAGGCCTTGTATGGAGGAAATGGAAAGTTCTTAGCTCCTAAAAGCAGAACCTGACTCCCTCTGTTCTCAGCCCTATGTAGCCAGCAGAAGCCTCCAAACCTTCTCACCTTTTGAAGGGGCCTCAGTGGAGTAGGGGGTAGGGGCAGAGGATCTGCTCACAGTTAAGCCTCGGACTCTTCAAGCCCCCTGCCAAGCAGTGGTGGGAGGCCACCTATATTCGTGCAGAGGGGAATCCCTCAGCCCAGGGCACAAGACTTGTCCAGGGTTGTGGTAGTAGCTGGTTAGGCCTGCTGGAACCAACACCACAGACTGGCTGGCTTGAATGACAGAGATTTATTTCTTCACATTTCCAGAGGCTGGAAGTTCCAAGAACGCGGTGTGGGCAGGTTTGGTTTCTGTTGAGGCCTCTCTGCATGGCCTTCTTGCTGTGTCCTCACATGACTGTCCCTCGGCCTGTCATCTGATCTTAAGCTCCTTTTTCATAAGGACACCAGTCTGGTGGCATTAGGCCCTTTCTAATGACCCCATTGTAACTTAATTACCTCTTTAAAGGCTCAATCCCCAAATACAGTCACATTCTGAGGTACTGGAAGCTAATACCTCAACATATGAATTTTAGGGGGACCCTATGTGGCCCCTAATAGTGGCTAACCCAAAATAGGCAAAATAAAAAAACTCAGCTTCCTGTGCTTTAACTGATTTTTCTGGAGGATGGCAGGACCTGCGACGTGTTTAAAGGAACGATGGTGTGTGTGTGTGTACACGTGGACGCGTGCCCATGTGTGTTTTGACAGATGCCATGGTCATGGACGAAAAGGTCAAGGAAAGTTCTGTGCTGGACATGGCTTCTGCTACCTGCAGCTACAATACCCACAATAAGGACCACCCCAAATACTGGTGCCAAGGCTACTTCCGGGACTACTGTACCATCATTGCCTTCACACCCAACAGTACTGACCGCGTGGCCCTGAGGGACACAGGAAGCCAGCTCATCATCACTGTGTCCTGCCTGACCAAGGAGGATGCGGGCTGGTACTGGTGCGGCATCCAGCGGGACTTTGCCAGGGATGACATGGATTCTACAGAGCTGGTTGTGACTGACAACAGAGGAGGCCTCGCCAGTGATTTTTGGTCTGGGAAAAGTAAGGAGTCTGTCAGGGGTCCAGTCAGGGGTAACACACAGTCGTTCGTATTCATTGGTGTGGTAAATACTCGCTGAGACTGGGGAGCACCACATCAGGCTCCCCCTAGGTTCTTTGGGGTAACCTGGTCACTCCTTCCCTTCAAAGTAGGGTGTTGCTGATGGCTGGGGACTAACTTGGAATTCAGGGAAGAGGAGGGTGTATGGGCTCCAGGGTACTCTTGGAACTTTCCTTCCCTCACAGCAATCTGGCTCATGGGATTTGGAAGAGACTCATGGCGGCTAACAGGTGGGAGGGCTTTGTGTTGCTGGCCAGGAAAGCCTCTGAGGTTGTTATCACACGCCTGTGCTCCGTAGCCAGGCTTGTAGGTCTAGAATCTTGAAGATCCATTTCTTGAGAGGTGAGTGAGGCTATAAAAAATGACCCAGGTGCCTGGATGAGCACCCTCAGAAACGGGGGTGAAGATCATGGCAACACGGGTCAGGAGTGCAGTTTACACCCGGAGGCTGCTGGGTGGGTGTAGGTTGGACTGGAGGCTGTAGGGGGAGGTCTATCTAAGCCAGTCAATTGCTCTTTTGGGCCAGGGCTGAGTTCTCCAGATGCTCACCAAAATTCTTCTGTCAAATGCTCAAAACCTCTTTTTACATCAGAAAGCTTCTGTCTCAGGCAAAGAGCTTATGGAAAGCACTAATCTTTCTCTTTTTTCCTTCTGTGGCTTCTCAGTTGTTTCCATTTCTAGGAGGGATGGTCTTTCTATCATAGTCCAGAGCACAATGCCAGTAGGAAAACAAACCAAGAACTTAAGGGAAGCCCTAGGAAGCCTCCTGGTTCTGGAAAGAGAGTCTTGCTCACACTTGAGCAACGAGTCATTTGTTTAGCAAGCATCTTATTGAATGGGTGACATCCTTCACACCTAGCATGTTTCTACTGTATAGTTTTAGGCTCGGGATGAAAGAGGTCTCACCTAAATGTGCTCCTTAGTTTAAGTCCCCACTCCTCCCCAGCTAGAATTGCCAGAGAAGACAATGTAGGTGGCCATGGTGGAGGTTCTCCCATTGGGTTTTGGTGGCTGTCAGGAGCACAGTGTGGCAATGATGTCACCTATTGGCTCATGCCTTAAGGATTGGACTGGCCCTCTTGTGCCTCTGGTGTCCCCTCCCAGAACCTTCAGCCTGGGACTCTCTAACCATGGGCCACTTCTAGTCCACACAGGGCTTTTGGGCAAATCTGGAAAGGGAGTCCTGCCTCCAGGTGCACGGAGCCCAGTGACAGGGAGTATGGCTTGGCCAGCAGAGCGTGGGCTGGATTTCAGCCCCTACTTGTTCCCTCTGCCCTCTGCCCCATGCAAGGCACCCTTGGCCCAGCATTTGTCTGGAACACTCAGTCTCTGAGGGTTGAGGGAATGGCAGCCAGAGACTCAGAGATGTAGAAGGCAAGGGCAGGCTTGGGGACTGGCTCACTGGACTCTCAGCAAATCCTTTCTGATGCAGACCTATCAGACAACAATACCAGAAGCTGCCGGGCTTCAGGAGTGGTCCACAAGGCCGATCGCTCCAGGTGATGACAAACGGCTTTGGGGGGTGAGGTGGGCAAGGGTGACACAGCGTGGCAATTGATTTGCACCTGCCACTTCTCCACCTGAACTATGGATCTTCAAGGTGACCATGTGGTTTCTTTCAGAAGAATATAGTTTAAGACTCTTGGATCCAAATAGCAAAAAAAAAAAAAAAAAAAAAAAAAGTCTTCTCATTATTTTAACTAAAAAGGAAGATCCGCCCTAAGGAGAGAGCAATGTCTCACACATGAAGGGCGGGACATGGCACCCTCAGAAATGGTCCGGAGTGTCTTTGGGACTTTTTCTCACTCTCTAATCTGCTGCTCTCGTGCTTGCTGCCTCTCTCTTTGCACTGCTCTCTTCTGTTTCATTTTGGCCGTTTCTAGTTCCTGAACTTATGTCTCCCCTGTTCAAGAAACCAGCCAGTCTGAGCACTGGATCTTCCTGCTCCAAGTCTGTGTTAGTCTCTGAGGAAGGGGCTCGGCCCTGCTTGGTCTGCGCACCAGCCCAAGTCCAATCAGGCTTGGGCTGGGGAAGGAGCACTTTGAAGGGACACGGTGGCCAGGAGCTACTGGAACTGGGTGGGGCAGATCCCAGGAAAGGGGATCCTGAGTAGAGAACTGAATTCAAGCCACATGAAGTCTCTGTCTGTGACTCCTTCCAGGATGTCCATTCTCATAATCTGCATACTGATCACGGGCTTGGAGATCATCACTATAATCAGTCATTTGTCCAAAAGAAGGAGAAGTCAAAGGAATAGAAGGGGTAAGTAGCCACTGGGCAGTGGGAATTAGGGAAAATGAAAAGGACCAAGTAGTAGCTTTTTTTTTTTAATTTTTTATTGTTATGTCAATCACCATATATTACATCATTAGTTTTTGGTGCAGTGTTCCATGATTCATTGTTTGTTCATAACACACAGTGCTCCATGCAGAACGTGCCCTCCTCAATACCCATCACCAGGCTAACCCATCCCCCTACCCCCCTCCCCTCTAGAACCCTCAGTTTTTCAGAGTCCATCATCTCTCATGGTTCGTCTCCCCCTCTGACATACTCCCCTTTTCTTCCTCTCCTGTTATCTACTTCTTTTTCTTTTTTCTTAAAATATGTTGCGTTATTTGTTTCAGAAGTACAGATCTGTGATTCAACAGTCTTGCACAATTCACAGCCATCCCGTCCCTCCCACCCCCAACCACTCCAGTAACACTCAGTTTGTTTCCTGA